GCAACAGCAGCAGGTTTTATGTCCATTGGTCCACTTATCTGGCAGCAACCCTAGGGATACATAGGAGATCATTAATTAGAATCAGGCCAGTTAGTCTTTCATCTTGAAATAAATAGAAATCACTTCAGACCAGCATGATTATTCAGATGTCACGCTAAATACTGATGTTGAGTACTATAAGGGAGTCAAATGACTGGCGAAAGGAAGACCTTTAAATCCAGTTCTCCAGATTTCTCAAGACTATCCAGAATCTCAGTTCATTTTTAGGCATGTACAACCTCAGATCTCTGAGCAACATGTTAAACAGTAATAAATAAATTGCTTCCTGTTTAATTAGGCACAGCAATATTCTCTCCTGGGGTCACCTCCCTTTCCCCTAGCCCAGTCCCATTATACTCTGGGAAGATAGCATCTTCATCCAATTCCAACTGTTTAGACAGGAGCGGGACCTCTATTTCCTATGTGCTGTCCTGCCCAGTTGCCACTTCTTCCTGCTTTCTCTGTGCTGTGTTTCTTGAGCTGAGAACCTCTGCATCAGCTTGGCTGCCGTGGCCAGGAAAGCTGGCAGCGCTCCCTCAGAGCGTTCCTACAAGTTCTCTGGGTTCAGGCAGGGCACAGCCCTGCTTTTGACTCTTGCTTTAGACCCAAGTCCTCAAACCCAGTGACATTCATAGGCAGCACACACACAGAGGGTTATTAAACATACATACATGCTACAAACAAATCACACACGGTGACATCATGAGAGTGCGTTTCCCAAGCCTATGGAACCGAAGGGGTGAGTGTGGACGAAAGGCCTGAGCTACTGCTGGCAAGAGGGCTCAATTAGTACTGCAGAACAAGACAGTGATTTCCAACAGTCAGGGTCGAGTGTCATACCAGCACACGAACACTTTAAAGACAAAAATTTAGTGTACAGTTAACAATTTTGTCCAGCAGGTGTTGCTGGAGACTACAAAACACATTCAGCCAAGGTCCAGCAGGCCAGCTTTTGGGAGGGTGTCAAACACTGACAGTGCTCCCTTGCCCCAGATCAGCAAGGATTGGGTGACTAATTATACTTTTACTCATGAAATTTTTCAGTGTTATAGTCTAAAGTAATGCAAACTATGACATTGAAGTCCTACTTTCAAATATATAAGCAATCCCTAACTCCATTTCTAAAGCTTGTCTATAACTTTATAAAAAAGCCAACTTGACAGTAAGCTTTTCAGGTTCTACATTTTACTAATTTAGATCCATGACAGCCAATAGGACAACACGATACTTAGAAACTAAAAAATGAACCCAACAAAAACCACAAAAAGACCTTAGACAACTACTGTGTGTCAAAAACTTAACAGAAACAAAACAAAAAAGGAGACAAAGATGACCACCACAATTTCACCTGGTTAACCCTGTGTGAATTCATGGCAAAAATTGCTGGAAATCTGATATACAATCTATGAAAGTAGAACAATTTCTAGTTATGCTACAGTTTCCAGATGGAAGGTGCCAACTTCTCTTTGCAGACACACTCCTTATCTGACCGTTGGTGTTCATGGCTGCAATATACCAGTATTTTGCATGACTGTCACAGTATTAGTTTCTGAAAAAAGTATTCAAGTAAATCTAATTGTATTTTGACAGTAATAGCATAAATAGAATTTTGCATGGTATTTGAACACCAGATGTGACTCAATATTTTTTAAATATAGTATTTATGATTTAATAATAGTTTAGCCTGCAAACCCATCAATATTTCTATAGTCAATGGAAAGGTTTGATTCACAAGATGAATTGTCTAAAAAGTGAATCAATCCTTGATAGTTGAAATTCATATTAAGAAGCTGGGGGCTGTTAATACTATTTTTGTTTGTTTCCTACAAAAATTAATTTTTGTACAAATGGAAGACAATCCATTCACAAACAAATAACTTAGATGGAACAATTTCAGAATATTCTTTTGGAAAGCAGCATTTGTCAGTGTTAAATGGTATCATGTCTTTACAGGAAACTAATTCTGTAAGAGCTTTAGTCCACCACACCACCCACTCTTTGGGCACAAGATGCAGCAAAACTAAGCAAGACTAGGCAGGTACTGTAATGTATAATTAGAAGACAGAGAACATAAAGGAGCAGACAAATGTCTAGTGGAGGTGGGGATATGAAATACCTGCTTTCAGGTATTTTTGCATTCTCTTTTCTATGAGTTCTTCAAGAAGTCACATAGACCGATCAAAAAAGTTAAGCTACTATGCTACATCTGTATTGGAGAGTTCGGCAAGATGAATTGGTGAGAAGAATGGTTAAACATTAAATGTAGCTATTTTGAAGAACACATTTGCCACCCAACCCTAATGTTTGCTTCTTAAATTGAGATAAAGCTTTCTTCTTAGAGTGCTGAAGCTCATCTTATTACACTGAGCTTGGTAGAATTTCTTTAACTGACATCTGACTTTCTACATTTTTGTGAGAGGTTAGTAGTCATTCTTCCACCTGAAAAGTTGGCTTGCTTAACTACATACCAGTTTTGCCCAAGTCTTGTTTTTGCCATAAACTTGTAAGCTATTAAAATTACTGTAAGATTGTTTCCATGAAAAAAAGACAAAAACCCCATCAATGTCAGTAAAAATAGATACCACTTCTTACTCAGCAAGCATCTGAATCATGAATCACTGGATGCTGGGAATATTCATAGGAAGCATTAATACACACTTTCCAAATTCTCTGCCTGTTCCCACTGGATATCGTTGCAGCCTCATCATTGGCATCAGGAAGACTCATGAAAATTTGAAATAAAATGTCATCATTTTTACTGCCCCCATAATCTACATAAGGCTGAAGCTCCTTTTTTAAACATTGTCCTTGGCACACAGGAGAAAGTTAGAACATCTGAAGTCACTTCAGTCATATAGTTTAAAGCTGGGCATCCTTTCCATGGTACACAAAACCTGTGACCAGCACTAGAATAGGCCCATAGAATCCTTCAGGTTGGAAAATACCTTTAAGATCATGGAGTCCAACCATTTAACTCAGCACTGCCAAGTCCACAACTAAATCATGTCTGTAATTGCCCCACCCATATGGCTTTTAAATATCTCCAGGGATGGAGACTCAAACACTTTCCTGGGAAGCCTGTTCCAGTGCTTGATAAACCTTTCAGTGAAGAAATGTTTCTTAATAGCCAATCCAACTTCCCCTGGCACAGCTTGAGGCTGTTATCCTCTCATCTGGTCACTGGTTCCCTGGGAGAAGAGACCAACCCCACCTGGCTACATTCTCCTTTCAGATATTTGTAGAGAGCAATAAGGTCTCCCTTGAGCCACCTTTTCTCCAGGCTAAACACCCCCAGCTCCCTCAGCCACTGATGAGACTTGTGCTCCAGACCCTTCCCCAGCTCCATTGCCCTTCTCTGGACTCACTCCAGGGCCTCAATGTCTTTTTTTGTAAAGAGGGGCCCAAAACTGGACACAGGACTCGAGGTGTGGCCTCACCAGTGCCAAGTAAAGGAGGACAATCATTGCCTTGGTCCTGCTGGTTACTCAATTTCTGATACAGGCCATTGGCCCTCTTGATCACCTGGCATATACTGGTTCATGTTCAGCTGCTGTCAACCAGCACCCCCAGGGCCTTTTCAACTGAGCAGCTTTCCAGCCACTCTGTCCCCGGCCTGCAGCGCTGCCTGGGGTTGTTGTGACTATAGTGCAGGACCTGGCACTTCCCTTGCTGACCCTCATACAATTGGCTGAGGTCATTAATCCAGTCTGTCCAGATCCCTATGCAGTGTCCTGCCCTCCAGCAGACAGACACTGCAACCCAACTTGGTGTCACCTGCAAACTGACTGAGGGAACAGTCTTGTCCGATCATTAATGAAGGCATTAAACAGGACTGGCCCCAATGCTGAGCCCTGGGGAACACCACAGCTGCCAGCTGGATAGAACTCCATCCACCACCACACTCTAGGCCCAGCCATCCAGCCAGTTCTTAACCCAGCCAAGACACAGCTCTATAAGCCCACAGCACTACTGCACATGGCTTGTTTGCACAGCAGTACTTGTGCTGATGTGACAGACCTCTGAAAACAGGTGATGCAAAAGTATCACAGGTAGACCAAAATTTTTTATGGTATAGGGTAAGAAAGACTAAAGTTCACTGATCCCCCACCAATTGGTATTTCTGTTAAATATGCTTTAAGAAAGGTGTCAGTCAATGTAGATGAACACACTGCAACAAAACCATGTATTCCAAGTTCTCTCACAAACAAAATAGTACTAACATATAAAGTAAAAACTTAAAGGTTGTATCAATTTTACTGATAACTGCATATTCAGTTACCTAAACCAAGCCTCTGGATTTCACTGTCATATGAGTCAAACTGAGAACTCTTAAAAATAAAAACTTAGCAGTTATTTTTTGCAGTTGCAAAGCTGAATTTTATGATTGTCCATTCAATTCAGATACAGCTTCTCTGATAGTCACCTGTAGTTCTTTAATACAGCTATGTAAAAACTTTCACAACAGACTGATCTTTTAAGCCTTTATTTACCGTATCTCTCTTCTTTACTTTTGCATCCATACCACAGAATGTGCCATTATTGTGTTCCTGAAACTATTCTAATTCCTCCCACTGTTTTCTTCCCAACTTATAAATAAGCAGTTCTCTTCCCATTCCCAGCAATCCATGAGTGTTCTTCCTTACCTCAGACCCAGGTCTTTCTTCACATAGTTTTCAGTCCTCCATCTTCAGCCATGGGTTCCACTTCAAATCTTCCAGGGGTTTCATCTTCCCCAATGCAATACCGTTCCTGAGGCTGCAGAGACAGACTGCTATAGACACCACACATGGACAGGGGTGCTCCTCTCCTAACTGTGTGTTATCTTTGTCCCACTTTCAGGAGAGGGAACCACAAGCACTAGGCATGAGAGGGAAGCAGTTCTAATTGGGACTTGCCATAGTATAACCCTGACTCAATCTTTTATTTCCACAACTACAAAGTTAAATAAGTGTTAGACAATGTTAAACAAATGAAACTTTTAACTTTAATATTCAAATTCAACACTAGTAAGAACAAATAGAGCACAAATGGGAAACATTTTTTAGAGTAAAATGCATGAAGAGACAAGCCAGTAATTAGAACAGTTCTTCTGTCAGCCTAGGTTCAGTATCAGCACTGGTTCTGATGGCCACATTCTGTTCAATATTTTGGAACTTAAAACCAAACAGTTAAGCTGTTGGCATCCCAGACTGCAGTTTCAGTATAGTACACTATAAGCACAATCAAACTTATGTACATAAACAGTGAAAAACAACCTGAACACACTAAACTATTTACAAGTACTCCAACATAAAAGAAACAAACGTACAATAGCCTCAGGAACAGGCAACTGAAGAAAATATGAACATTTTGAGAACCTTATTAAAAAGAATTACAAAACATCAATAGCAAAGACATTAACAATTGCACTACACTAATACAGAGTCCAAATATTAAATTGGTGCATTATTTCACAATGCACTAGCTTTGAGAGAAAAATGCTGCCTTCACTAAAATGCAGCTTACATGTTTCACTTAATTGTTTTAACAAGAAGCCTATTAACACAATAATGATTGTTTTAATGCTACAGTTTACAGCAAGGACAACAAACTAAAAATAGCAGCAGTTCCACATGGCACTTAATTCCACAGGTTTCTAAGCTGTGGTTTATGCAATGCCTACAAAGTGCTCCCAGTTGAATACACAAAATAAAATTCACAACGAAAGTCTACCTGACATCAGGTATATTGACTGTAGGTGGCCTCAAAGCCTGTCTTTCAAAATTTATTCCCCACTGCTCCAAAAAAAATTAACTATCAAAGCAAGGCCCCCTCCCTCCTTCTTAAAGATTAGGGATATTGCTTCTTATTACAATGCTGTAACGCTACAAAGCAGCACACCACTATAGTGGTTAACCCTGGGACAACATAACATCTAACAGTGTAACCGAAAGGCTTATGGATCAACATCCAGGATCCTCTACAGACAAGAGAGTAACCGAGTCCATAAACTCAAATGGTTAATACAGCTATAGTCAGCCATATAGTACAAGTGAAAACCCAGAAGCAATAGATGTAAAACTAGTGACACTGATCACAGATAGGACAAGAAACCAGGAATTGAATGCTTCCTTCTATTCCTGAGGCTTCAGTCCAGCAGAGATGCCACAGCCATCTCAGTAGTTCTTTCAGACTTCATAGTTAGTAGATAGTAAGACTAAGTGAGCGGTTCATTTTCTTCCCAATGAGTCGAGATGGTCTGTTTTGTGTTGTAGATCTCGTTGTCATTCTGTCAGTGAACAGCGCTCGCTCCTCGGCCGCAGCCTTTGCCATCTGTGCCTTCTTCAGCTCTCTGCAAGACAGGGACAGTGTCACACCCGGCAGCACCCACAGGGAATACGGGCGGATCACAGCAAGAGTGCTTCAAACGCACTACAGCATTTCAGAACTTAAGACTTGGCAATTTAGGTCATACTAAGATGGTTATCATTTGCATCCACCTGTTCACAATCCAGAGGACAGAAGTGGGATGCTCATTACTTGTCTAGATGTTCTTTCTTCTGAAAATCACAGGAAGGAAATGAAAAATTCACACAGCTCAGATTTTGAAGCCCAGCCTGTTATAAGCAGCTCAGCACTTCAATCACCAGAACACAGTAGGGTGCTGTTTACTTCCTCGCATAAGCCATGTGTTAAACCGGAGTTAATTACTGAGGTTTGCCCAAATGAAGCATATTCAGCCACAACTGAACTTCTGTGGGAGACTCAAACAGACACAACACTTAGATGAACGCACAAGTACATAACTGGCAACAGACAACTCAGGAAGCATCCTTTCCCTTTTGCATACCCACATCAAAAGCTTAGCACCACCTACATTTTTTTTGCCTAATAAAAATTTAAGCCTGCAGGGCAGTCACTGAAGACAGCACAGGCCATTGTCCCTGTGCAACATTCTGCCAACTGCTCCGTTTCAGAGAATTACCAACACTCAGTCTTAGGACAAACTTAAATAAAACCCAGGACAAAATAGTCTGACTAAAGAGCAAATCTATCTTTATAAAGGGTTTCCCCATACGTTGCTTTTCTCCTTTCTTTATAAATACTGACATATGGCTAAGCTAAGCCCTCCTCCCATACTCTCTCCTATCTCAAACTATCTGTCAAAGAACTTTCTCTACTCTAAGAGATTTGTATTCTCACTTCACATCTGGACTGCAAAGCAAGATCAAATTTTACAAGCTTGCTGCATTACTGGTGTAGATGTATTTAGATTTAAGCTACATGTTTTAGTTTAGTAAGCTATTCCTATTATTGTAAGCCCAAGTATTATTCATTAAGAGCCGTGCCCATCTAATCATCCCCACATTATCACTCTGTCAGTTCACTGCAACAGAATACAACCAATTTTTCTCAAATTTCTGTTTCAGTGTCCTCTTTGTTGTGAACATCAGTCACAAATGCACACATGTGTGCTCACCCAACTACCACACCATTACCAGGAAATTAAGCTTTACAATATCCTTCCATTCTTCCCTAGAAGTCTTGAATTCTTAAATTCTTCCCTAGAAATCTTGAATTCTTCCTTCCTCTGAAGAGGATGAACACTGTAGAAAAGCCGAGTTTCCTTAAAAGGATACTTTTCACTGAAGATAACTTACATATACAAGTGGTATTTTAAATGGGTCAAATGCAGGAAATTTAAAAAAAAAAACATACAAAAATGAACACCTCCGCCCCCAAATAACTACCTGAAGTATTTTTATGGAACACTATGCCACACATTAAAAATCACTGTGGCTAAGTTTTCTTTTTAAATCATTCCTGGATTTATAGAAGGATGTATCCTTCTTGTTGCCAGGTCAGAAGCAATTTTCACAAAACACTACCTTTGCCAGCTTTCCCTTCTATGTGATACAAAAATATGCTGTCTTTATACAAGCAAGCAACTTACCTCAGCAAATCTGTCCTTTAACCCGTATAAACTGTCAAATTATTCTTTCAGTGTAATTCATTCATCAACAAGATTATAAAGATAACTATCTAAACTGGTATGTCTGGCTCTGGTCAGACTGTAGCAATGGTGTGAACCCAGAGTGAACCCAAACATGAAATTACTGTCTTCATTCAAAACAAACCAATTGTCCTAGTTAGGACAGCTGAGATCAGTTCATCATGGTGGGTGTAACCCAAAACTGTATTCTATAGCCTTCCATGTCATTTCCCAGAAACTAGACTATTGTTGTCAATAGACTATTCGCACCCTCTGCCCATAGAGCATGGTGGGTGTAACCCAAAACTGTATTCTATAGCCTTCCATGTCATTTCCCAGAAACTAGACTATTGTTGTCAATAGACTATTCGCACCCTCTGCCCATAGAGCCTGACTCCTCAGGCTATAAACTAGGTGTTAAGAGGCCTGTGAGATAGGAGGATGTTTCTGTCCTCACACCCTTTGTGAAACTCCCCGCCCTGAGGGGAGCACTGAACATTCCTGCCTGAACTGGAGGATATATAATCTTGGAGTTTTGGAACATTTTTCAACCCACTCGTGGGATCCAGAGGACGGCTGCATCTCATCGCTCTCAACCAGACTTAGACCACCACTGGACTGCGATCACCAGTTCTGGCCAGACTGCAGCAGCTCTCCCACCAGCAGGTTCTTCCCCTCTCCCTTTACTTTGGACTCAAACAGGGCCCAAGGAACACCACTTTGTTCAGGCCCCAGGGTACTGGGTTACACATTTGGGTTTTTGTGGGTTGAGACCAATTGTTTGTTTGTATTATTGTACTTACTGTATTATTTTAATAAATTGTTATTCTGACTTATAATCTCTCCTTTGAGTTGGGTTCATTCCCCCTGCTGGTTAACTTTTAAACCAGCACACCAATCAAAGAAATCAGTCTTCTATGTTCCCTCATGAAAGCCTGCCTATTATGCATAACACATGCAAAGTTAATTGCAGTGAAAGATTCAGACAATTGTTGCTTAATTTACCAGCTCTTTCTCTGAAACTTAAGCAAAAATCAGACTTTCCTAAAGAGAATCTCTTCTTCCTAACTTTAATACAGAGTTGAGTGTTAAGCAGGGGGCAGAACAAGATGACTTCCGGATACACATGATTCTTTGGTAACCCAGTAACACCGCTCTGTGCAAGTCAAATTAATCCAAACACATTCCTGATGTGCCATTTCATGTAAGTTCAAATTAGGTCATTTAAGTCACATTTTCCAACATGTTTTAATGTACAGATGACATAGAAAAACACAGACTCAAATAACATAGAGATGTAAGTTAGGCTATCCCTGTCACAGAAGCCCGCATTGTGCTTCAAACATTTTTTTAAGAACTGTAATGTTTTGTGTATGCCTTGAATACTAATAGCTCAGTGCCCAGCAGTTCCTTCTATGGAGAAAGTTCCTTGTAAAGTTCCATGACCCATTTTGTACTCTCAGGTACACACATGCCTATGGATCTGGGGACCTTACACATGAACAAGGACACTATCATGTGAAAACCTATTAGAAATTAAGTCATATTTAAGGACCCCAAGGAACTACTTACTTCTGCAAGAGTGAGTTTTTGAATTTCTCAGCATTCAGTTCTATCCGGAGCTGCTCTGCACTCTTTTTTGCAGCAGAGAGAAGCACTGAATGTTTGACTAGTGCCACAGCTGAAGGCCTTTTCTCTGGATCAGGATTAATCATAACCTTGGAAAAAAGAAAATAAGGCATTCCTGTTAAAGTCAACAGCACAATAAATTTCAGTTATCAGCACGCCACTAGTACAAGAGTTCATACTTTTAGTAAGTCTAGTAGTTCTTGAGAAAGCACTTGTGGTAGTCTAGGTAGTTTCCCTTGTCGGATTTCATGCCATTGGTCCCCATTAGTTGGCAGTGGTTCAGCCCCAGCAGCACAGACAACAGTCAGAGCGAGAGCGAAAATATCTGCTTTAGGCAAATGAGTGTAGTTCTGGAAAAAAAAAAAAAGAAAAATAAATTTACTAATTTTTCTAAAGAAAACAGCACGCAGACCTAACATCACTGTTTTCCACACACAGAACAGTTACCTCTTGTAGGACTTCATTCGCAAGAAAACGGCTGTCACCTTCTTCCACCTGGGGACTGGATACTCGAGTTACATGACCAAGGTCACCTGAAAAAAGAAAAGAAAGTTATCTTTCAGAAGACAACAAGATGATGCAATTCTTTTGACCACAAGTGTGCTGCTTCTCACCTATTTTAAATATGACTCTATCAGATGACCAGTCATCATCATCACCTTCTTCTAAAGTTATACTCGGGACTGATGTCCTAGATATGAAAATATTACCTGAAAAAGAATAGAATTGTATAAAAAACATTTCTGTATAATTCCTACTTCATCTAGTTTCACTACAGTTTGCTTTAGCAACACAGAAATTTTATTTGTATCCATACCCAGTTCATAGACTGAGAAACTATAACTGTCTTGCTGTGACCCCTCTGCTGGGAAGGCAGCCAAGTGTTATGCAAGTAGAGTCAATTACACAAAAAGGGTCCAAGATAAACCCAACAGTTTAGGTCTGCTAGCCAATTTTATAACTGACATCTTTGTACTGCTATTCAGAACTTCAGTGAAGAATTTACAGTTAGTAAGGTGTGGCTAACTGCTCATTTTTCTACGGTAGATTAAAGTAACTGAGGAAATTGTCAATACAGAGTAAAGCAGTTACAAACTTACTAGGTTTGATATCCATGTGTACAAGTGACATTGAATGTATGTATTTTAAACCTCGAGCCACTTGAAGTAGCAGGTCCTTCAGTTCTGGTTCAGTAAAGTAACGCATATTCCTGTAATTTTCGCTTATGGCATCTGCTAAACTGCCACCTAAAATGACAATAGAGAAAACATTAAATTTTTTTACATCAAACAGTTGACAAAGTAATGACAAATAGCTTCCAAAATTTAATTAATATATAACCAAGAACTTGCTGACGATACACAGTAAGTGTAAAACCTAGAGCTGTATCCTCTCTTTATAGCCATGTAATATAATAAAATTATTTTCTGCTGTAGTTGCCACGCAAACATGGTATCAAAACAAGGGAAAAGGCCTCTCTCCCTCTTCCAAATCTCTGGCAGGGCATCAAAAATAGCAAAATGCTTCAGAAATCAAGTTTAATCTCCCTTTAAAATGGAAACTCTCTAGTAATTCCCCCTATTCCAACTTGTACTATTGTACAGAAGAAAGAACAGTTTTGCTGCTCGCAAACGCCTCACTGTACTTCCAACATGCTTCGACATGTACAACTTGGTCTGCAATTTTGTACAGTCTTTGCTTCATATCTCTGATATGTCTTTTCCAACAGAAGGAACATTAGACACTTGAAAGAAAGGTGGTACGAGCTATGAGTACGGTAATCAATTCCTAACTAGTGCTGAGAGTTTGTAGATAACTGTATATCTTCAAAAATTAAGCTTTTTGAAAGCAAGTTCAGAACAAGCAATAAACTTCACTTACCATTGCAATATTCATTCTGTATAAGCATATGATCATCTTCTGCCCATGCAGAGTAGTACCTCACTACATGAGAATGCTGTCCCAGAACTGCATGTGCATAGACCTCTCTTAAAGCATTCTGCCTGTTAGTCACGAAAAATAAGAGCACATGAGTATTATGAGGTGAAATAGTACAATTTCTTATTATAATAGTTCAGTGGCACCTTCAGCTGGATTTGTACTTATATCCAAACAGCTAAAATAACTGACACTGTATTAAAAGACCATAGTCAAAAAAACCCACAGTTTGGTACAGATAATTCTTGAGGGAGCTACCACTTCCATTATGTAATTGCCAACCAGTAGCAATAGCAAGCTCTGAGATGCGTCACTGAAGTCTGAGGAAAAAATAATGAGGATCATAAGTCAAGAGTTTGACTAAACTCAGCATTCCTAACCTCTTGTCTGTAAGTCTGGTATGCAATTCTGTGCAACTCAAACTTGTGGAGTTTTATATTATAACTATTAGAACAGTGTAGGGAAAAGTCACAAATCACAGGCTTATTCACAAATGTCAAAAACTACCCCCAAACTGACTTGACTCATCTGAGTGTCACTCAAGCTGACTAAGTCCTCAGACTTAGCTGGGAATATTACTTTCACCTCTCAAAGGATCATCACTGGAGTTTATTCACATAGTCTCTCCTGCCACTAATGCAAGGAAGCTTTATTCTTACTTTCCAGGTGAGAATAATCTGTTTCCACACAAAATATCGGGACAAACATCTGCTAGGAGAAAGGTCAATTAGCCTTTTCTCCACAGTACTGCACAGTATTTGGGGAGGGGGAAGGAAGAAAAGTAAATTGACTTCAAAATTGTATCTGTTTTACGTTTAATTTATCTTTGTTTTAGACTTTTCTCTTAAACACCTTCTCTAGACACCAACACCAAGAGACATATGAAGAAGAAGCACCAAGAGGAGGCTTTTAATAGCAGGAAGTACTCACTCATCCACTGAGCCAGCCAAGGGTTTCTTGGATCGCTTTATTGCATAAATGCAGCCATCTAACCTCTTCACACATTTAAACACAGAACCGAATTCACCAGATCCAATCTTCTCCAGTTCATGAAATTCAGTTGCATACCGTGACTTCATATTACTTTCTGTTATTGTTATCCTCTGCAAAGATTAAAAAGGGAAACACTTAGATCTGCAGATACACAAAATGCCGAAATCAGTATCAAGTTCTAAAGATTAATTACCTTAGCAGGTCTCATGGTTTCCTCTTCAGGCTCTCCATCACTTGGTTCCATGTCCTCTCCACAAGAGCTGAAATTCACACCACTTACTTTTGCAGCAATAATGGCTTAAGCAAACTTAAAACTGAAGTCCAACAGCTACTTATTTTTTTCTGAGATCCAATTCTCCCATTCCACCTTAGTTTAACTAACTGAATGCTAGAAGTGCAAACCCATAAAGGTACCATGCTAATTTATTTGTCATTTCTTTCTTCATGTTCCATACCAGTACTTAATGTGTTTTTCCTCCTCAAGAAAAGACTGTGTGCCTAACTCATTCCATGAGAGAAAAAGACTGTAGGACACAACCTAGTCTATCCTCTCTATACACTAATCAAAAGATCTAGTGCTAAAGGGTTATTTCATGGTATCGTGCATCTCCAAGCACATACTTTAAGAGTTGAATTATACATCACTGACAATTTGCAAGTAAAAATACTTTCACAGAAGCGACTTGTAACAAAACTTTTGCAGCTAAAAGTAGTTCTAAATATAAGCTTAACAAAGCAAGCTCCAAGTTACTCACTCGTTCCAGTGTATCCTCTTCCTCCTACGACATTTTCCTTCAGAGTTGTGAAGGAACATGGAGTCGGGAGTGAAGGGATTGATGTTCACATGAGGTGTTTGTCTAAAATCTTCTTCTTGCTTCTCAGATTTCCCAACATTCATAAACAGTGAGCCCCCTCGAAGTTTGACTGAGCTGGAGCCTAGTCCTTGTGCTTTAGAAAGCAAGCTCTGTATTAAAAAAAAAAAAACAAACACATTGATATTGCCTTAGACATAAAACAATCAAATCACGTTTGAAGCCATCATTACAATATTCTCTAATCAGAGTTGGGATCAGTTGTTTAAATATCTGCATTTCCATAAAAAAGTTTCAAAGAAATTATTATGCTTTGTACTCCACACAAAAATAGTTCAAGTAAGCACTGAATGTTAAAATAATTTTTACAAGACAGGAAAGAGGATGAAAGCAACGTTTTTCTGTCTTTAATCATGTCATCATCTAAACTTCTTGGACAATTTTTTGTCCATGAAAGGAACATAGATGAAACTTGTGGACCATCCTGTACTACATCGCCGTGATTTCCACATACAAGATAGCCAAGTTAGATCAGATGGGAAATTATCCTTGGTGACTACAAATTTACGTGGCAAGCTTAAAACATTAGCAAATAAAACATTTAATATTGATGCACAGGTGCATCTTCATGAGCCTACAAAAAAAGGTTCAAGATATGATAGCTCTGCTGCACTGTCAGTTAAATATCCAATAACCAGTTGCTGGTTATTTGCCAGACCAGGCATTTTCCTGGCACATGATGAAACCTCTCCCAGTTACACTGGGAAGTTTGCACCTGAGTCTCCTTCATCCTGGTGAGGATGCCAACGACTGGATCAGAAGCAGGAGTATTGCCTTACCTTTGAAACAAAGATGCCTAAACCACTATAGGGAAAAAGGCTCAATACTTGGGAATCTCAACTGCGCTCCTCAAATCTTCACTACATAAAGACCTTTAAGTCACTGAGCATCTCAGGACACATTTCAGTACTTCCACTAGATACCTTAACCAACTGATTCTTCCAGATTCCAAAGATAACCCATGTAAATTCTGGGCACCTAATTCAAGAATCCCACTGAGCTACTGTGTTAAAACTGTTTTTAGTGTCACAACCCACAAGACTTTTGGATCTCTGAAGCATCTGCTCCTAACTCAGTATAAAAATCATCACCAATTTTAGCATTTTTGAACTTGTACCACTGATTTCTACCAGTGAAACCTCATTGGAGATAGAAGCTGTAGAAAACCAATTAACAAGGTTGCCTTCCTTGCACCTTAAGTCAGTTGTTTTCCATCTATAGTCCATAGACCCCTGGGAGATTATCCCCGGGGATTATCCCAGGATTACTTCTAAAGGGCTATACGAAAAGTAATGAAGAAAAGAAGCCAATTACCACTAGATTTAAATGCACTATACAGTGTTTTACATGAACGTCGAGTTCAAAAGTTGAGATGCCTTCCAAGAGTCTTTTATTGACAGAGTTAAGAGCTGCGCATCTATCTCTTTAAGCTTTGGAATCCACCAGTTTAATAGCATCGGCTACTCAAATAGCCTTTTACACTTGATGCAGGAGTGCAGACACTGAACCAGCGCTGGCACACAGCACAACAGCAGCAGTGCTCCAGCAAGGCAGGATCACAGAATTAATCAGGTTGGAAAAGACCTTGAGACCATCGAGTCCAACCTGTGATCGATCACCACCATGTCAAGCAGACCATGGCAGTAAGTGCCACATCCAGCCTTTCCTTAAACATCTCGAGGGACAACGACTCCACCGCATCCCTAGGCAGCTCGTTCCGATGTCTAAATCAGCCTTTCCGTGAAGGAATTCCTCCTAGGACGTGCCAGTTCACTGACAGACACGCAGGGGGCGGGGGGCAAACCCCAACTCAAGCTTTAACTTTCTGGCTGCACGCGTAGGAACGCCCCCGCGACACTACGGCGTCTATTTGAGGAGTTTCAAACACGCTCTCTTACGTTTTAAAAATATATTCTGCACAAAACACGGCCCAACCTAGCGTAATTGTATATTTATAAAAGAATAAAATGTATA